GTCCTTGATACTATCTGAGCTTGGTTGTTTTCTTGAAGATATTTCATTACCCAACTAGGTAACATCTTCAGTGCTATAAAGGAGTGGGGTTTGTGGAGAGGAGGAGGAGGAGGAGGCAGAGGAGGAGGAGGAGAAGGAGAAAGAGAAAGAAGACTGTGAGGTCCTTGATACTATCTGAGCTTGGTTGTTTTCTTGAAGATATTTCATTACCCAACTAGGTAACATCTTCAGTGCTATAAAGGAGTGGGGTTTGTGGAGAGGAGGAGGAGGAGGCAGAGGAGGATTGTGAGGTCCTTGATACTATCTGAGCTTGGTTGTTTTCTTGAAGATATTTCATTACCCAACTAGGTAACATCTTCAGTGCTATAAAGGAGTGGGGTTTGTGGAGAGGAGGAGGAGGAGGCAGAGGAGGATTGTGAGGTCCTTGATACTATCTGAGCTTGGTTGTTTTCTTGAAGATATTTCATTACCCAACTGGGTAACATCAAGGAGGATGTAGGAGGAGTGAGGTTTGCAGAGAGGAGGAGGAGGAGGACGATTATTGTGGGGTCCTTGATACTATCGGAGCTTGGTTGTTTTCTTGAAGATATTTCATTACCCAACTAGGTAACATCATCAGTGCTAGGTCATCAGGTAACTAGCAACAATGAGCACAAGGTCACCAGCTTGAATTTCGTTTTGACTTTTGGGCTGGTTTGGTGTTTTGGTTCAGTGCATTGATAGAACCAGGGAAGAAAAATGCAGAAGAGTCAACACAATTGATTACAGATGACCATGGAGAATATATTTTCTAGTACCTGAATAGTTTGTGGAAAATGTGACCAATTCTGTTGAAGAAATTGAGGGTAGAGTTCAAATCCAGAGTCTGGTCCATTAAGCCAAGTGTTGAACTGTTGGATTACCTTTTTTTTAAAAAAAGGAGTTAAGAGAAGCTTAATTGTGGTTATGACACAGATCAGCTATTCCCAAACCCACTGAAGATATTGGATTCCTAAACCTAGTTTGGCATTTATTTTCCTTGATTCTGACTTATTTTCAAACCTGGCTTCTGTTTTTTTCCCCCTTTGGGATTGATTCAGTCCTAAATTGTTAATCTATATATATATAAAAGAAAATACCACTCACTCATCATGAACTGTAAATCCTACAAACTTGAAATTTGGCACATAAGTTGCTCTTGGCTTCTAGATGCTTGCTAAGAAAGAATTTTTCAAAATGACCATTCCACCATAGTATTTTTTTACACAGTATTATATTAACACGCTTCGATGCTAAGGAGTTAGACGTTCTACTTCCCCTTCCCACCTGAAAAGAACACTGTTCCAACTGCCAGTTGCCTTATATTAACATGTTCTGATGCTAAGGAGTTACATATGCTACATTAATCTTCAAGCTTTAACTGTCCAATCCCTTCGCTAGACCGGGAGTGGGCGTGGCCAGGATGTGACTCATCATCTAGCCTGTGGGCTGGGAGTTTAGACATTCTACTCCCCCTCCCCACCTGAAAAGGACTCTGTTCCAACTGCCAGTTGCCGTATATTAACACGCTCTGATGCTAAGGAGATATGTATGCTACATTAATCTTCAAGCTTTAAGTGTCAATGTATCAAGCCTGATCGTAGCTACTCATTAATTTTCAAGCTTTAAGCGTCAATTTATCAAGCCCAATCGCATAGTTTTGTAGCGAAGCACAGGTAACCAGATAGTATGGAGATATGTACCTGGAGTGAATGGGTGATATCCAGCTGTATCAGATGGCGGGATTGGCCCATGCTAGATTTATTTTGGTATTTTCCCAGGAAGCTTAGTACTTCTTTGTGACTGATTTTCAGTTTCACTTCCAGCTCTTGATTAGCCTGTAGGGTTTATAATTTCATGGTTTTAGACTGCTGGGTCAACAAAGAAACTCCTAAATTTGGAATCTCAGAGACTTTGCAGAACTCTGGTATTACGATTGGTGTCATGATAAGAAAAACTTGGTGCTAAGAACAACATGGGTCTAGGACTGAGCCCTATTGAGCCCAAGCTCATGGTCTTCTGGTTTGTTAGAATATTCATGATTGGGAGAGACATGGTAACAAGGTTCAGCCAATGAATAGGCATAGCAACTAAGTCAGCCAATGGGAGCTTAAACAGATCTGAGTCTGTGCTGAGAATCAAGTTTTTCTTATCATGACACCAATCGTAATACCAGAGTTCTGCAAAGTCTCTGAGATTCCAAATTTAGGAGTTTCTTTGTTGACCCAGCAGTCTAA